AATTATTCAATAGGTCAAAATATACAGTGCATGTCATAAACGTGTATTAAGTAATTTTCCCATATTCACATAAGTTTCAAAACATGCGAAGTATCTACCTATTGAAAAACCACCAACTGACCAATATTCTAAATGTCTTAGAAATGCTATCTTATAGCTAATGTTGGCATTGCTTCACTCTGATTTAGTCCAAATAATCAATAGACAGACTATCAAAGTACTACCTTAGAGCAACTTATGTGTGATACAGAAATAAAAATTAAAAACTCCCTTCTAATACAGCTGAGTTTTCAAATAGGTTAGTTTCCTTATACAGCATTTAATTTTATTACAACACAGAAGTACTTAGTGACTTCCTTAATAAGTCTAACATTAGGAAAAAACCCAGAAACTTGTCACATTTCTCAAAATAAACTTAACAGTTGTGTTTTACTTATTAGTGCCTGTAAAGCAGTAATTTAGATGGCTGAACCCAAAAGTCAAATTTACTAATATATACACCCAGTCTTCACTGTAAGGATGTCACATGACATCACTGAATTCCCAGCTACAAAACAGACCTTTAAAAGTTAAGTTTTGTACCTCACTGAATTGTCAGTTTAAAGTCAAAATAGATAAACTTTTTAATTGATATTCTGGTTATCTTTAGAATTTTCTGATTCTGGCAGTACCCATTTAGAAGAAAAAAATGAAGTGAGGAATTGTGCTAGGAAGGTTGAGTGACAATAGATTTACATTATCCTGTTAAAATTTAGTATTTGTATTATTCACAGAATAATTTGCACTGATTTGGGCTCATGAGTAGGGCTGGTGTCAGCTAAGTTGGAGATGTGAGTCTTCTTGGAGTAGAGAAAGACTTAACTTTTCATATTCTTTAATTATTAGCATATCTGGAAAATGATTAGACAACTCGAAAACTTATTTAATGGTTAGTATTTCTTTTTTTTAAAATAACTTAGATTTTTGCTATGAGGTACACACACTTATCAGAGAGACATAGAGACAGAAAGCAAGAAATCATGCCCAACTAGAAGGATGGTGATTCCACAATCCCTTTTCTTTCATTCTCCTGTTGGGATCTTGTACACACATGCACATGCGCCCAGTATGATTTTGAAGTTGTCAGGTCTGGGACTTGAACTGCAGTCAACTATATGGGAGTCCTATGATATAATCATTATGCCATCTGCTGGTCCCTTAGAGGTATTACGTCTAGTTTCAGGGTTGACATAAATATATTCAATGTATGCATTGTTAAAGTACATTGGCCTAAGAAAGTCTCTATACTTCTTAGTTTCCATAAGCAAACCACAACAGAAACCCACCCTTTAGACTGTTCATGTAGCTTAGCTTAGAGCTGTAATCAATTATTTCTCTACCTCATTCCCTCACTTTTGTTTTTGTATGTCACTTTCCTGTTTATGCATAGGTCACTTTCTCTTGTGGAACATAAGTATAGCTTGACCATGAGGCTACCTGGATTTCTCATTCAAAACACTTTAGTCAATTGAACTCTGCAAAATGAAGCTGTCTGAAGTTTTGTTTTGTTTATTCGTTTGTTGGTTTCTTGTTTTTTTGGCATAGGGCTTGTGTACTCCCTGGAGAGAGACAGTGAGAGAAAAATTAAGAAATCACACCTCACACTCCTGCCCTCAAAGATGGCCATACTGCAATAATTTCTCTTCCATTCTCCTTCTGGAATTTTGGGCATGCACAGACATGTGACCAGTATGATCTTCAAGCAGCCAGATCTGGAATTCGAACCACAATCTGCCAAATGAGAGTCCAGTGACTTAACTACTATGTCACCTGTTGGTCCTTGAAGTTTTTCTTTTAACAATCTAATTATAATATTCTCTTTAGGGGCCAGCAGATAGCATGATGGTTAAGACACTGGACTCATACATGATGGAGCACAGTTTGAGCCCTGGTTCCATCCGCTTGAAAAATCACAGTTGAGTGTGTGCCCAAAATTCTGAGAGGAGAATGGAAGAGGAGGGATTACAGCGTGGCCATCACCCAAGTAGGTTTTTTTTCACTTTCTCTCTCTTTCTCCCTTTGGCAAGTATACATGCCTTATGGCAAAAATTTAAAAATAATTTCAGAAAGAATATGCTCTTTATTGCCATGCACTATCGTTGAATTTTACTGTAGAATTTTGGAAATAAAGTAGCATAGGGAGCATAAATCGATTTCCTTAGATTGTTATTAAAATGAAATTATATTACAAAGGACAAGATCTCATTCATATTGAATGCTTAGTATTGTCATAAGAGAAACAATATAGTTGTTAATGGTATTCATTTTGAAACCAAATAAGCTGTATCTGAATTTGGTTACAGTATATACTGGTTGTGAGAACTTGATGTCATTTTTTTTTAAATTTCTCTAAGCTTTATTACTTTTAACAAGGACAATGTCTTGCAATATTTTTTGGCTGAGATAACAGAGATACTCAGTGAATAATGGCAATATACCATCAACATTTTCATCAATATCATCCAATATTAGAAGAAAGACAGATGAAAGGAGTAAGGTTCATAATATGTGGGAAGTCCTCAGAATATGGCTTACCTATTTTATAGGCTCTTCAACTAGCACATTCTAGGTACTCAATTAAATACGTGGAATAAGTAAGTGTAAAGGTGTAGGCCATGTTCCAAACTCTCAAGTGTGTGTAATGATAATTGAAGATCAGTATCCTAGCTTGCAGTTTTAACTAAACAGAAGCTAAGACAGGGTCCTGCAATGCAGGTAGTTTATTTTGGAAAACAGAATAAAGCCACAGGGAGAAGTGAAACAGAAGCAGAAGAAAGTTAATGTGAGGTTGTGCTAAGAGGCTTATCATTTATCCAGTGGCTCCTATCTACTAATGGTCAAATGTTTCCCTAGTTTCCCTAAGGGCATTCATTCCTCCACATTCCCAGGTATGATCATGCACCAGAACAATGAAGCGGGGTCTCCTATGTGTCTCAATCAGCAAGTAATGGGAAAGAAAGCAAACAAAAACTAGTCAATAAAAGTCTGACAGTGTCTTGATCCTGCTGGTTGTTGCAGTGAGAGAAGGTGTCACTGTGTAAGACATTGTCAGACTTTTATTGTTAGTAGCTGGTATCATAGCAACAATTGGACAAAAATGCAGGCTAAGCAGGTATGAAACTGAATATATACAAAAAATATCTACACACTCATTGATTATTAATAAGGGTATTCCTTTTTCATATTTCTTATCTCAGAGCAAAGTGCTTTCATCAGCCCATGGTAAATGGAGCATACAAACAATGTGACTGAATTCATCCTTTTGGGCATTACAAAGAATCCAGAACTGAGGAAAATACTCTCTGCTTTGATTCTCATCATGTACATGGCCACAGTGTTTGGAAACCTGCTCATTGTGATAACTATGACTGCAAGTCAGAGTCTGAAGTCACCCATGTATTTTTTCCTCACATCCTTGTCCCTCATGGATGTTACCTACTCTTCTGTCATTGCCCCCAAGGTGATTGTCGACTCCCTCTCTGAGAGCACAACCATCTCCCTGGAAGGCTGCATGACCCAGCTCTTTGCAGAGCATTTCTTTGGTGGCGTGGGCATCATCCTGCTCATCGTGATGGCCTTTGACCGCTACGTGGCCATCTGTAAGCCCCTGCACTACACAGCCATCATGAGCCCTCGGGTGTGCTGCCTGATGGTGGGAGGGGCTTGGGTGGGGGGATCCCTGCATGCGACAATACAGCTTCTCTTCATGTACCAAATACCTTTCTGTGGCCCCAATGTCATTGATCATTTTATGTGTGATTTGTTTCCATTGTTGAAACTTGCCTGCATGGACACCCACACCCTGGGTCTCTTAGTCATCCTCAACAGTGGAGTGATGTGTGTGGCCATCTTTCTTATCCTCATTGCCTCCTACGTGATCATTCTTTGTTCCCTGAAATCATACAGCTCCGAAGGGCGGCGCAAAGCCCTCTCCACATGTGGTTCCCACCTCACAGTGGTCGTCTTGTTCTTTGTGCCATGTATTTTCCTGTACATGAGGCCTGTGGTCACTTACCCCATAGACAAAGTGATGGCTGTGTCCTTTACAGTTGTTGAACCCATGTTAAATCCCTTGATCTACACGCTGAGGAATGCAGAAGTGAAAACTGCGATGAGGAAACTGTGGATAAGACAAGGGACCCTGTGTGGCAACTAGATTTCATGTGAAGAACTAATCTTGGGACCAGCAGATGGAGTAGCAGCTACACTGCTAGACTCTCACATGACTGACTGTGGTTCCAATCCTGGACCCAATACCTTGAAAATCACATCGAGTGCATGTGTGTGCATGCCCAAGATCCCTGGAGGAGAATGGAGAAGAAGGGATTGCAGTGTGACCATCCCCTCAGGGTGGTGATTTCTCACCTTCTCTCTCTATGTCTGTGTGATTCGTTTTCTCTCTGTGGTGAGCACACGTGTCCTAAGGCAAAAAACTCTTAAAAAAAAAAGGAATTAAATAAAAAACAAAACAAAACACAAATGAATTCTTCTTACTATAAGGGCACTGAGGTCTTAACCTTCCTATTAATTTCAATCCATTTGGGATGAATAAGTCAGAGGCATCCTAGAAAAACAAAATATTTCAAAGTACTATAGTGTCCTCTGTTCTGAGATTACCTCGGTGTGTCCAGTACACCACATCATTACATTTTGTACTCCACCCATTTCTTCCAAGGATTTAGGCACACTTTGAGTTTTAAACTGTATTTTGAATAAACTCCGCATTTCCCAGTTCAGAACTTTCCTCTCCTCTTCTCTCGACTGGACTGACTTTTCCCAGAGGCTTCGCTTGGCTGGTTTCCTGTCATTTCTTTCATTTTCAGATGGATTTCTTCCTCTTAAGATTTTCCTGACTTTCTATTTATTCCCTTTATTTATTTTTCAATTCTACCTCCTGGCTATATCTTTAATGCTTATAATCACAAAATATACTTTAAAATATATATATTTTTTACTTTTATCTTCTGTTTCCCTAAAGGGTTGCAATCTCTGTCCAGGCAGGGTTGAGGTATCTTCATTTGTGTTGGAAACCCAGTGATCAGAACACTCCCACTTGCTTAGTAATGCTTAATAAATATTGTTGGATAAACATAATTCTAAAAAAGACTTAAAGTGTTTTAAAAATTTGCAAATAAATGGTAAGATACTGAATTTCTACACTCTAAAGCAGAAACTGAAAGATTGGAAGCTATAATAACAAGGAAAATAACTACAGATACTATAGATCGTAAGGGTAGGGGTTATATGGGGTTGGGTAATAGGGGGAGGGAGAGAAACAGGGGAAAATTGCAGTATGCTTAATTGACATAAAATAAGTTATTTGCTGAAGATAATGTATATGATAATGTCTCTGTCTTGACTGATGTGCACTGTACTCATGCTGGGAGAAATCATGTTGTATAATGTAAACATATATAGTGATTAAATGTAAATAGTAATAATAAAAGATAAATGGGGGAGGATAAATACATTTTAGCACTTCAGGAGTTAAAATAACTCCAGTGTGCGTGTTGCCAAATGTCCTTTTGGAAACAAAGAATATCTCAACTAGTAATGTGTTTAATATAGAGGCTACTACTTTACCAAAATTCTCAACTATTTCTTGTAATTAATCAAAGAAACAAAATCACAGTCAGTTGTGCTTGTGGTTAGATATTTTAGAATCAAATGTTATATATCTTAAAATTATACAAAGCTTGGAGGTTGACTTTGTCCTTCTACGACTCTCACAGGCTTCAAATGCTAAGAAAATAGTATTTGTTATATTTTTGTTTGTGAACATTGCAACAGAGGCAACATGCTATTTGTAGTCACTGTCCTCTGCAACCCTGACCTCCTGGGCTCCCCCATGTACTTCCTCTTTGCTTTCCTAGATGAGAACTTCTCTTTTGTTATCATCCTAAAGATGGTCACAGACTCTATTTATGACAGGAAAGCAATGTCTTTTCAAGGTTGCATGATACAGCTTTTCACTAAACACCTCTTTGCTTGGGTGGAAGTGATTGTCCTCTTTTCACTGAACACTTCTTTGCTGGGGTGGAGGTGATCGTCCTCACAGCCATGGCCTATGACCATTACCTGGCCATTTGCGAGCCCTTACACTACTCATCTATCATGAACTGGAGACTCTGTGGCATTCTCCACAGATGGGGTTAGTGTTGACCAAGGGGCTTCTTGCATTCCTTGATACAAATTCTCTTTACTTACAAGTTGTCTTTCTATAGCCCCAATTTCATAGATCATTTTTTGTGTGACTTATACTCATTACTGAAGCTTGCCTGCATGAACACTCATATTGTTGGCATTTTGGTGGTCACTAACAGTGGCTTTATCTGCATCATAATCTTCTCCTTTGTTGCTTATCTCTTCTGGTGTCACTCTTCTCTCACTGAGGACGCTTAGTTTTGAAGGGTGGTGGAAAGCTTTCTCCAACTATGGATCTCTCTCCACCCGTTGTGGTTTTGTGTTTTGTCCTGTGTGTATTTTTACATGTGTGACCTCCATCTGCTTTCTCCACTGACAAAATCTTGGCAATACTTTACACCATCCTCACACTTTTGCTTCATTCTTTGATTTAGTTTCAGAAATAAGGAAGTAAAAAACACAGAACCAATTGGTGGTTATTTCTGAGCAAATATGAAATGTTAAACTTAAAAAATTAAAATAAGGAGTAAAGAAGTCAAATGATCTTAGATAAATACTTTTTAAGATGCACCTTTTGCAGAAAGAGATAGTGTAATACTGTAGAAAAAGTGTTAGTTCTGTTACTAATTCACTCTGTGACTTTGAGTGAGTTATTACACTTCTCTGGGCCTCCATTTCTCATGTTTAAGGATAATTAATCAAACAAAACATATTTCCTTTGCACTTCTCTGTGTGTCTAAGTTCCTTTCATTTTTTTAATGGTAAATATTCATAATCCTATTTAATTGATGAGTATACTGAGGCTCAAAAACTTGTGACACATCAAAATCTTTCCTCAAGATTTTTTTCAGTCCATTTGTAACTAAAAGACCTGGTATTGGAGTGTGGTTATATGTATAATGTTTTTTTCTGAGCTATCTGGATTTGCTGGCTGTTATATTTGGAAAAGTGCAAAGAATGCTATAACCTAATATAGCATTTTCTTGTCTCAATTTCTGTCCCTCAGTTCTCTTTTCCTATGCTTTCCTGGCACCTCTCACTTTATCCTCATTGGCAATGACATATATAGCAGCTGTGCTGGATAGTAACATGGTCTGTTAGGTAGAAAAGTGATTTTATAATATAATCTGTCATGTTTTTAATAACTGCAACCACATTAAAAAGTAAAGATCTAACTTCTTTCCCTAAGAGTAGAAGAAAATACCTTAGGCTATTATTCAATAATTTCTTTACCTTTTCTCTCTCTCTCCTCACTACACTGATTTAAAAACATAAATGGGATAAGTAAATTATTATTAGCAGTGGTAACCTTTTGCAGAAGAGGAAATTGAAAATTAGAGTCTGAGATAGTTGCTTAAATTCATATTGCAGGTAAGTAGAGGGACCAGGGTTCATGTCAACCACACACACTTGACCTCTTTGAGTCTTTCACTGTCTTCAGAGACTTTCAGCAACTAGAAGAGACATGCTTAAGCAAATCATATGAAGAATCCTACAATTCAGAGGAAGATAAATTTGAATTAATTGGTCCTAAGGTTTGCTTTTGCCTCTGAATGTCTGAACTAAGTAGTTCATTGAACATTCTTTGGGACTATTTTGAGAGAAATAATCTCCTTACAGCACCTGAGGCTGAAAGCCTGCTTTAGGCATTTGCAAACCTTTGTGGAATTTACCTAAAATAAACACAGTGAAAAGAACAGCTTTTAACTAACTTTTTCCAATAAAGAAACTGGAAATAGAAAAATAGAACTGACTTCAGAACGGTTTCACTCTGAGTGCAGGAATAGTTTCTTCCATAAAGCTTTCTAGAACCAAAATAAGAAAGTTTCCCTGTTTTTTACATTCTTTTTTTTTTTTTTTCACTTCAGCATAGCCTCTGTTTTTGTTGTCTGGTCAAACCCCGTGTTCTGGGGAGGAACCATGTGAAGTATGTCCACATGCAGTCTCCTTTTTCAATGAACTCCTTTCATCCCTTAATATCTTGTGATAGAAAGGAATGATAAATCTTGAAGTATAGTTTACAAGTTTCACCTGGGCTTTATATAATTTACCTTCTAAGTGAATTAAAATTGAAAAAAGAATATACTTTATTGGAAATCATCTCTTTGCTTATATAAAAAGTGGTAAGTTATTTCTGTGTCTCAAATGCTTTCTTTCACATATCTTAGTTAAGACTAATTTGATGAACCTACACTGAATAACTTGTACGGAAGATGTAGCTCACAGCTCACCTATGAAGGGTAATGGTGGCCCAGGCTTCCTATGTTGTTCCTTCAGCACAAACTGAACTACCTCACAAAAGCCTTTCTCTTCACAGATAGGGTTCAACAATGGCATCAAGACCAGCCTAGAAGAAGTTTTTGTCTTGGGGATTCTTTTGTTTGAAAGCCTAAGGTCATTGGTGATGTTTCTGGACAGGTATATGATAGGGCTTCACCATCCATACACACCTGTGTTTTCAAGACCCTTGGCAACCCTTGCCCATTATCCATAACTTCTCCCTCACTTTGGTTTGGGACAAAGTGATAGTGCAGTGGGCTAAGGAGAAAAAGTGTTAAACTGTGACGGAATCTTAGCTCAAGCTATCCTCTTTAACATTCTTCACTCACCTCCCCTCTCTGTATTTTTCTGTATCTTATCCCATAACTCTGTTGGTGTCTGTTCAGTATCAGTCTCCACTCTTCTTCTCTGACTACATCTAATCTCTTCCCTTTTGCCCTGTCACTATTATTTCTTGGGTTATCTGGATTTTTGCTTTATATTTGACTTACCATACAGTTTACAGAACTTTTTTTTGAGATCCAGTTAAGCAATTAACCTTTTTTTTATGACTCAGGATTTCTTTTCTCTAAGCAGCAATTTACAGGCATGATTATAATTTGATGTTTTATTTAACATATAGGACAAATGCTGGAGAGATATGTTATCTAGTATCATAGTATCTCATTCTAGTTCTAGCTCAACTATATATGGTAGAACTCTTTTATCACAGGTATAACTTTGTACATAAAA